AAGTGGGCGGGAAGAAAATTTTTTGTGTGCACAAAAGCATGCACCTTATGGGGAACACCAGTGGGCAGGGCTCATTAGCAGGCAGGGACATGGCCTGGCAGTGTGCCTGGGAGGCAGGGGTTTACAGCCAACCACCAGTCCGTAGACCAGTGGTTGGGAACTGCAGTTCTAGATATCTGACCTTCTAAAGCTGCAATAATTGTGGGTTTTGTGCATTGCCCTCCTCTCATATTACACAGCACATGCTACTAATGGCCACTATTTTAGTGCCCACAACAATCTTTTTGTCAGTTCCTCAATAAAAGAAGAGTCGCGCACACCCAGCTAAAAAGAATAACTAATGTAAAAAGGAATGCTTAAAATAGCCCCACAAAATTGCAGGTAAATCATTCTTCTGACTCTTACACGATCCTTTTACAGGATTTTCTCTCTGGGAGAATAAGCAGTATGAGATATATCCCAAAACAACAACAGTAGAGCAAAGAGTGTACAAATTGGACTAATCAGCATGGAAGAAACAAGACAAATTAAAACAGTTAAATAACAGTAAGGATAAAATATCACCCACCCCTCAAAGACTTGAATAGAAAGCCTGATTCTGCTAATAGGTGGCTGTATGGGAGGCCAGTTTGGAGGTGTGCTCAAAAACACAACACTTTCAGAATCTGACAGACTTAAATAAGGGAGAATCTGAAAGAAAGAAAGAAAAGCTCTAGAGGTAGGAACAATATGGGTAACAGGTTCTGCATTACTGAAAGAATAAAATCAGATCCTATCTATAGATCCTTTCTATAGAATGAATCCAACTTTTAAGTGTATGTAGGGCCATCTGGCTGCCTTGCATATGTACAAGATTAAAAATACCTCTCAGATGCACTAGATTCTAAAGCTCAGTTACACATTGCAGCTGAATTTGCCATCACCAATAAGGTGGCCTTTCATGCAAGCCAATGGGAGCTGTGAGGCTCCATGGTGATGGACACTTTTAAACTAAGCGACCCCTTAGCAGCTTATCCAGGTGAGCCCCTAGCCCACTTGGAGAACCACTGCTTTAGGTTGCAATGAGAAAGCACTTTTGGGTTCAGATAATCCAGATGATCATGAAAAGGTGCCATAGATTGGGTAAGAAATTAATTTCTAAAAAACAGATTGGTGAGAGCTAACACGGCATTTCCCTAGAGTCCCCCTGAGAGGAGCACCTTTGTAGACCATGGTCAAAAAGCATGCTCCAGGCACTGATGCAGCATGCTGACCCAGTTACTGGGCACCATGCATGCTAATAATCACTACTCCGAGTGCCTCAATATGTCCAAAACTTCAGCTTTAGAAGAATTTAGCTCTGTTTCATGCTAGAAGCATGAGATGCAACAATATTGTCTTTAAAAGAAACTAGTAACCCAGAGATGGGCAATAATTTTTGATGGAGGGCCACTCACAGATTTTCGTAAGTGGTCAAGGCCCGCACTTTGAAGGTGCAGGGTCTGAGAAGGAGGTTGGGTGCAGAAGGGAGTTTGAGGTAGGAGACTAGAATACAGAAGAGGGTGAAGCTTCTGAGAGTAGGGTTGCCAGGTGTCTGGTTTTGAACCGGACAGTCCAGTATTTGAGCTTTCTGTTCGGGAAACAAATTGAGAAAATATAAATGTCCGGTATTTTCTAAATAAGATGTAATGTAGATTGTGATGTAATGATAAGCGTGTCTAGTATTTTTGCTGAAACCACCTGGCAACCCTATCTGAGAGGGAGTTGGGGAAAAAGGGGTGCCAGAGGCAGGCTCTGACTGGGAAGTCCTTACCTAGGCGTCTCCTGGCCAACAGCCCTGCAGGACCCCAAGGCAGACTCACTGACCGCTGCAGCCCCATACTGCTCAAAATGGCTCGCTGCTCCAGGGGAGACTGCCCCTGCCCCTAGCAAAATCTCTCAGCTCCCATTGGCCAGTTTGTACAAAGATGCATGGGGCTGTTCCACAGCTGCTCAAAGAGGCATGGGGCTGTTTTGAAGCGGCTTGCGACTCTGTGCCTGAGGGTCCAGGTGGAGCGGCCTATGGGCTGGATTGGATGGCTTGGCCTGGTAGATTCAGCCCACAGGCCGGATCTTACCCGCCCCTGTAGTAACCAGTACTCAAAAAGAAAAACAAAATATTGTAATTTTTTTTGTAATCAATAACATTTTCATGTGATGAATATGTGCACTCAATTATGTAACACAAACTGACAAAGAGAATCACTTTCTTTAATTATATTTAACAAATCTTTCTTGCCTTACTACAGAGTCCCACTGAAGTGAGGGTCTGATCATCCACATAAGGCAATCAGCATTTTCCCCAAACATAGAATCATAGGACTGGAAGGAACCTCGAGAAGTCATCGAGTCCAGCCCCCCGCCCTCAAGGCAGGACCAAGCTCCGTCTACACCATCCCTGACAGATGTCTATCTAACCTGTTCTTAAATATCTCCAGAGAGGGAGATTCCACCACCTTCCTTGGCAATTTATTCCAATATTTGACCACCCTGACCGTTAGGAATTTTTTCCTAATGTCCAATCTAAACCTCCCTTGCTGCACTTTAAGCCCATTACTCCTTGTCCTGTCCTCAGAAACCAAGCTGTTACCTTTATTTGAATGAGAAGAACATGTAGTAAGTCCCAGTGAATCTGGAACAATGTTGTTCTGGTCTTCAGTGAAGGTCTTTTAAAGATTCTTCCTGTCCCTTTTTGACATATTTAACCTGAGGCACCTAGAAACTCTTCAAAATTAAGCCAAAATCAAGGGAACCTTATACATAAACAAGTACATGTATATTTGACACTAGAGGTGCCCTATTCTCACAAGACAGCGGGTTCTACTACAAGTCCTTCCAATTATGTCTCTACGATTGTGGCAGTATAGGAGGCTAGTTTGGAGTCTTTTCAGAAAAATTATCAGCGTGATTAGTAGGTTCAGAAATTCCATTTTTAATTAGAAACTTTATTTTTAAATACATTACATAGTTTACATGTGGTGAGACGTGCTTTCACCATGAGATATTTCAGAACATTGTGCTGAGCAAAATGGCTATAGATTTCCTTGGAACTTTCCTTTTTTTTAAAAAATAACAAAAATATCTTCTTACAGAACTAAGAGGCAACTTAAAAAATATTTGTATTTAAAGGCTATTACTACATTAATCTTAGGGTAGAAATATTTAATAATTCCAAATAACTGCATGTTTCAGAAAGGATGTAAGTTTTTGGCATTATGATCAACAGAAATTCAAATTCTAAATAATCCTTGAATTCACTAAAATGTGGAAGAAAAGCAAAATAATGCTAATTTCAATGATCAAATCATTTTTGCTAAATAAGGCACAGTCATCAGAAATCTTTGAAACTTTATAGAAGAGTATACAAATTCAGATTTATTTGTACATATTAATCATTTTCTTTGATAAAGCCTGAAAGATTTTTTTTTTTATCTGCTGCTCAGAGTTGACAGGAACAAGTCAGAGCAGCAAGGCAACTAATACAGAGAAGCCATGCAAAGAGTGAAGCTTGATGCTTATGATGGCACAAAAATATCTGCAAAGTAGTTCATTTTATAAATGGAGCATTCACCTGATATCACTCAAGGGATGACCATCCAATTAAGGGAAAAGTAGATGTGGAATTATTTCTGTGAGTAGTGCCTACACACAAAGTTGTCCTTCCCCACCCCTAAAAAAAATTATAAGAATGAGACATACAAAGGTCACTTGACAGTAGGGATGTTAAATACTGGTTAATTGAATAGTTAAGTAACCTCATGAAGTCCTATTGGTTACTCGACATTCTCCGGGGCAAGGCCAGCAGCCAATGTGCTCTGGCCCCACTCCCAAGGAGCCCCCTGTCACTCTGTGCTGCTGCCACTGTATCAAAGGCAGAAGCACAGGGTGCTAGGCAGGAGGTGGTCTGCGAGGGAAGCCAGTTTAAAAACCAGCTCCCCTTGCAGATCAGCAGCAGCCCCTGCCCAGTGGAAGGTCTGAGCTCCCAGACCTGGCATGAGCCAGACATGAGCCAGGCTGCCTGCCCGCCTGGCTCCTAATACACTTTAAATGCAGATCTGCAGCAGGGGTAGGTCTCAGACCCAGCACAAGCCAGGACTGAGCTGGGCTTCTGGCTATCTGGCTAAAAAACGTATGGCGGGAGGAGGGGAGGATGCATGTAGTCTATAGCATTAACCAATAAGTTTTTGCTTATCAGTTAATCAGCTACACTATTACATCCCTACCTAACAGTAGACCAGATGTCAGGGAATGTTAACTCCATTTACTTAAACAGTAACTACTGCCATTGCAATTTGCACTAGTTATTAAACAAAATGATATTACCAAAAATGGTATTAACTGAACAATTACCATTATTTTGGTTGGAGAAGTGCTGAAGGAACCCATAAAATGTAGTGATGTTTCAAGTGGTTGGAAAAAACAGAATTTTTTTAAGACAATTTCTTATTCAAGAATTCATATGTGCGAAATTTCTTTTTTCAATCAAATCCTCAAGGAACAGATGCATGAATTTAGCACTAGATGGCCCATATGATCTATGAATGTTGAGTATGTTTTCAGAATTACCTAACTGGCAGACTTTTGTTTTCAATTTTTATCATTGCAATTCAAGTGCTATATCCATTTAAACTGAATAATCAAGTTTTGACATTTAAAAAAATAATCTAACTCATTATTTTGACACAAATTTGTATCACATACCAAAATATAATTTTATATGTAGTTCTGTGAAATAAATGCAAACACTAAAATATAAAAAAGATTTTAAAAATTAATTTGCAAAGCTGATCTCATACTGCAGCTTTGAGGTAAAAAAAATTCTGTAAATGAAGAAGTTATGACATAAATGTGGACTATAAAATACATTCTCAAGTATTTTACAGAATGGTTGAGTTTCTGATCAGGCATGAGAGTCTGGAGGAGAATAATGTTAATGAGAAGCAGTTCACATACAGAACACAAGCAATAAGTTTAAATCAGACTATTTTGGTTTGTGTAGCCCTTTATTAGCAACTAAAATAAAGATATTTGTTGTACAACATGGCTAGTAACTGACTATACTGGAATTTTATTATATTCTAATACAGGATCATTTATAAATGCTTTTTTTTCTTCATTAAAAAGCTCCCACCCTTTTTTCTGTTTACAACTGGCAAAACTATTCTGAAAGCTGAGTACATGTGCACAGGTCTGCAAAGAGTGCAAATTTAGGATATGGTAAATGCTTTACATGTTGTATCTGAAAGGACTGTCTACTACCATGCCTTTACAGACATTATCTTTTTTTTTAATCGCTAAGTTTTGACACAAGTCTTCCTTCCATTTTCTTAAACAAGAAAGCATTTGTAATGAGTTGAAACTAAGGAAGGACTACACTACTAGAAAAGAAGAGAGTTCTATTAGTTTGAGGTTTCAGTATACCCAAAGACCAGGAACCGTATCTTTGTAAGGGCTAAGCTGGGACCCCGTACATAGTATGTGTGCAGGTAGCATCCCTGAGTGTTTGGAGGTTCAGTGGACCATAAGTGCTCCAGCAGCATAACTCACTGAGCTGTCTTGCCAGTTTCGACACTGGCTTGACTGGGCATAATTCAAAAATGAAAAGCTCATATTCATTCCATTCTTCTGGAGCTCTGTTATAGCCTATATAAAAAAAAAGAAATGAAAAAGAAAACAAACATTTTAAGTAAAAGCTAGAGATTCCCCAATGTGTTCTCCGCAAAGATCAACCACACAATGAGTAACACCTTCCCTGCTAAAAATAATATTGTGTCCCTCCCCTCCTTCCTTGTGTTTTAAATTAGATTTAAAAATACAGGGCTGACTTGCTGTCAAGTATGGACTTGCTCGTTTGTACCAGTCCAGCAATGCTGTACAGCAGCCACAAATCCTCTGTGATCAACTAATTAAGCCAAGTTTATGGCTGCTTTGTATCACTAGAGGAGCACATAGTATCCGGAGTATAACATAGAATCTGACCCATAACGAGTATAAATTTAAGAGTTAGTTCAGTAATGCTGCATGCAACTCCCCTTTGAAATATTGCCAGAAGCCATAACACGTTCACAAATGCCAGGTAAATAATATACAGGCAAACATACTTTAAAAAATATATATTTTCTACTTTTCACTAGGGATGGGAATTTCAGAGGAATCTAGGAAAGTTAAATGCATATTTCACACTGAAATTCAATGGAACTGGATGTTTATCTCCCTTAGCTACTTCTGAAAATCCCAGCCTTAATAAAAAGTAAAGTTGCCTGTGTATCAGCCTAGAAAATGACAGAGTTTGAAAACTTGGATTTAGATGTCCAATCTCAGAGGTAACAGTTCTCCGAGCAATTTATTGGTGAGAGAAATTTCAACAAATTTGCAAGTCAAATTTTTCAAAAACAGTAGTACTTACGTTTAATAATACCCCAATGGGATGTCTTCCACATATTGTATTATGATATTTCTTCAAGTAATTGCTAAATGATACAGGATCTAGCTGTTCTATAATGCTCATACCCTGAAAAAGAGTCAATAGTAATAGTAAAAATGTAGGAGCCTTACAAATAACAAACATCACAACCACATGTGTTTGTGAACCTCAATTCTGAATCATGGGAATCTCAGTATATGAACAGTATTTGCTGACTGTGGGTTTGCTTTGCTCCTGCTCCTTAGAAAAAGAAGTGACGGGGCTATGACCTTCCAAAGCTGTTAATCATCTGACATTCACAGGACCATTCTTCAAACCTTGATGCAGTCACATAAAGGTCTATTGCCTTCCCACTACTCCCTCTGCCTGTTCTCCTGGCGACACTATTCCCCCTGAGGAGTTTTACTCCTGCAAGCTTCTGAAGAGTAGTAGCACCAAATACTAAGCAGACTAAAATCCATGTGTGAAAACAAAACCTAATCACATATCCTAACATTTATGTTTATTCAAACACAAATACAATCCCACCTACTCTACAGGCCAAGGCTGCTCTTTCTCTGTCAGCATGTAACACATCAAAATACATATAAAATAACTCACAACAAATCTATCTTCCAGCTTCTACCTTCCTCACACATAGTACCTCAGAAAAGCATGCCTCAAAAGCACCCACAAACAGTGGCTATTCTTGGAAACTTTGGCCCTGCTAATGATATGAACTGATGGATTTGCAACTTGAATCTTATCTCTGAAAAAATAAAAGGTGATGTGATATTAAGTCTTCATCAACAGATATGAGCAATATTATGGAGAATCATCAACACATTTCAACTTAGTAAAATGCTTTTCAACTGCTCTTTTCTCACTGGTGTATTGTTGCTGAGATAGTGGCACAGTTAAAAGAAGAGAAATATTTTTAAATAATGCCAATTCTTAACTAAACAGTTTAAATAAAATAACAATATTCCAAGGAAATAGTACTTAAACTAAGCTACAAATGAAGCCAGATTCTGATTTCTATTATATAGGCTTTCCCCCACTGATTTAAATTCAGTTATCAGATTTATACCAGTGTAATTCGGGTGAGCAACCTATGGTAGTTTTTTCTAGACATGATCAAACAAATTACTCTTCTAAACAAATGCTCCCCCACTATTACATCACTAGATTGAGGCAAAATATCTATGGCTCTGCTTAAATCATAGTAACCCAAATCTCAAATTATGGGTAATAGGCTGGTAAAACTGCAATGTAAGTGGTATAATCTAGTTATGTACTAGTGGTGATAGTGATATGTGTCCCTAAAGCCTTACATAGGCAGGAAAATTGACCAGAATACTTATTCTGGAACAGACCCATATTGTGGATACTATTTTGAAATAAAAGTCACTTTAGTCTAGAATATTTACGTGCATTACTAATTACAGACACAAATCCAGCAAGTTGTTATTTTAGGAGTGATGGTTACCACCTTCGCCAGCATGAAATCAAGTCTTGTCTCCAAAAAGAGTATGCCTCTCAAAAGGTAAAATGCAGGGGTTTGTGTGTGTGTGTCTGTCGGA